CTTTCCTGGTAGCTCAGTGGTAAAGAATCTGCCTGCCAAGCAGGAGACTTGGGTTCGATCTCTGGGTTGTAAAGATCTGGAGAAGGAAATGGCAAACCACTCCAGTATTCTTGCCTGGAGAATCCCACAGACAGAGGAGCCTGGCGGGCTACAGTCCCCAGGGTCGAAAAGAGTTGGACACGACTCAGTTACAAAACGACGACACTCTTGTAATTGCCAAGAACAGATTGTATGCCTCTGAATAAGTAAGACTACTATAGTTTAAAGAAATGAAAAAAGAATGATTTTTGTAGATTTCCCTACTATTGGTCTATTCTAGCAATATAAATAAAAGAAACAAAATTGTGTCTTTTAAACACAGTTGAACTTTTAAACGTTAGACATTAATTTTCCTTATACCTTATGAATTGTAATCAAGTTGATTATATGTTATATACATATATATGATATATAATACATTTTTTGAAGTGACATCTAGAGTCACAGCAACTTACAAAGAGAAAAAAAACACACAATCTAAATAAAATTTTGACCATCATGCTATGTCTCAGCACGATGTATTAGAAAAATTATATACTGCCTTCCTGTCATTTCCATCTCATTTGTGTATTTATTGCAGATAGAAATTAGTATTTTCTTTGTTTTTGTTTAGAAACTAATTTTCCTTTAGTGTTCTGAAACATCAGGAACATGGGCCCATGTTAGTTATCAACTATAATAATTTGTTCTAACTGAGCTTCTGTTAGTTTAATCAGTGTCAGCCAATCAGTAAAAGAAAATTTCACAAAAATGCAAATAGCATTTCCCAGCAGGGAACCGGTCATTGTCAGTAATAATGAAGACTCTTGTCTGCTGGTTAATAATTGATAATACTGAGCAAGAGAGTCAAGAATAGAACTTTGAAGAAGGAATGCATAAGCAGATATTCCTATATTTTGGTTGTAACATACCATTTGCCATCATAAATCACTCATTTAAACAATTTATAGAATTTCATAACCTTCTATGAAACCTAGAAAAGAGATTGCAAAAAATGTTAACATTTTCCTGTCTATAGCTCATAAGGTTATTTTGCTTCCAAATTCTTTATCTTTTCAGTATGGGAGAACTAGTTTTTTTCCCCCCATAGCTGATAGAGATTCACGTAAAATGAGGGTATGAAGAATGCTGTCATTCAAAAGAAAGCCAAACTGCCCAGGATAGGTCCCATTCTGGAAGCTTGCTTATTTCTTCAAAATTCATAAATGGGCACATGGTACTCCTCGCCTTATTAAGCAGGGACTTGAAAGAAATTGAAAGATAGAATTTAGTGACAGTTGGGAATAACAGTTTAGAGTCTTCAGAATACTTATGACAAGTATTATGGTATTTTATACACTCTAGGATGCCATCATTAGAAAGACACATGATTTTATGGAGCACTAGGAAAGAACAGGGCTGCTAATTAAACTGTTAACGCTCATCTGACTTGAGAGACATTAAACTGTGAAAAAGATACCCAACTTGGAATTCATGCCATGGAATAGCATTTCCTTGGTCATACAGCTATTTGACAAGAACTATTTCATAGGCTTGTAGCAGTCAATACTTGGGTAAGATCTGTGATCATGTATAAATCTAGAAGGGCAAATACACTAACTTTGAGTCACAGTCTAAGTCAGCTGTACATGAAACCAGCTTCGTTCTCCCCTCTCCACTGTCCTCCTCCAAGGCAGGCCTACTACGTGCTAATGGGGCGGCTGGAGAGGCAGACACTGCTGCCCCCTCACCAGAAATCTCTTTACATCTTAACATTATAAAAGGGAAATAAGATCATTTGTCTTTAAATGCTTACTGTTAAAAAGGCTTACTGTTTGGGGAACAGTAAAACTTTCTAGTTTGTTAAATGTGTGACTTTACCTTGCTTTTATTTCTGGTAACAAGAGCAAGTAAAATGATAGATCTTAGTGAAAGAAAACTATTTGTTTTCTAGGAAGGACATTCTATGTGAGACTCTCGCTGTTTTTCTCCATCCACTGGAGCTTAGGAAGACCACAGAAGTGACAGTTTTGGACAGCAGCACCTTTAAGTCCTGCCAGTGGTGTTTTTTAGGCATCACACGTGGTTTGCTATCTTGCTCGTATTTCAATAACTGATGCTGTTTGTCCTTAAATTGTGCCCAGAGCTTCTCAGGTGATCAGGAAGCAAGAATGACTGAGAACAGGAGCATTCCAGACACTATGTTTTTAAAGGACAAACCGTAATGTTTGTTATGGGGGGTCTTTGCTTTTAAATCACTGACATTGTTACAAAGCTTGAAATAGACTAACGACAATCCCTCTTCCTTTCCTTATTTTTGATAAGCTATCAGGAAAAACCTGTGTTTTAAAAATTCAATCTATATCTTCTCATAAGCTCCTTCCCTGTGGACATTTCATAGCACTTGTAAAGCTTAAGAATATACAAAGCAAATTTAAACAAGAAATTTCTTTTATATTATTTGTGTTTGTGTGTGTAGTATTGTGTGTGTGTGTATGTAACAGATCCACTGAAATACAAAATTAAATTATTTCAGGGCCTTTGAGGTCTTGTTGATGATGAGGTCAGCCTATACTCACCCTCCACGGGCAGAGCCACGCAAGCACTGTTGAGATGTGTTCTGATGAATGGCTGTTATCACTGAAACAATGAAAACTTTCCTTGAAAATGCTGTACACGCAAAGTGGAGCACCTTTGTTTTTGACAACAGAATTAGAAGAACTTGGAGTGTTTTATCTAATTTATGACCTCTGTGAAACGGAAACAAATTCAAGAGGTGCCATTGTTTAAATATGTGGTTTTAATAATTTCCCCTGCGTTCTCAAGTAATTTGAAAGTTGGTAGTTACACTTTTTCACCTGCTTTAAGCCACTGGATGACCAAAGAAGTCCCGAGCCTGCTGTTTTAATATCTCTCCCCTTCCCCTTCCATCTCCGAGCACCCAGATCTACAGTGTACCCCGATCCTGGCTTCCCCTGCCTGAGATCTCCGTCAGTGGACCATCTGCACCATCCCCATTACAGCAATAGCCTCCTTCCTCTTCCCTGGACTTGCTTCTCAGTGGCATAGGATAAGACAAAATACAACCGCATCAATGGCAAAGGTGAATCAAATTTGGTGTTGCAATTCTTTTGGCACAGGCTTGTCAGGTGTACTTGAAAGGGACAAACATATTACTTAGCTACAGCTGGGAATAAAAATATCATGTCTTCACCATCATTGCAGATCTTAAAATTACTCCACATCATCACCATCATAACGAACCTTTCACGGTACCTCCTGTGTGCTAGGTCTGTTCTCAGCACTTCACATGTATTAATGCACAGATACCTCATTACAACCAAATAAGTAGAACGATTATGTCCCCATTTTACAGACAGAGGAAAATGAAATATTTAGAGGTTAAATGAGCTGCTCAAGATTACACAGCCCATGAGTAGAACCAGAATGGGAAGCCAGCACACTGAGGGCTGCCCTTACTGCAGACAATTACAATTGCCTGAAAGAGCTCCTGGATTCTCCTTCATGAAAATACTGTCTAAGCCCCTCCACTTATAAGCATTTTGCCTGCTCAGAACAACTAGAAGTAAAGAAGAACTATGCCTGCTGACTAATAGCAAATGACATCACAGTTGTTCATTTTAACTCAAAATGAACACCAGCAGATTGTAAATATGGTCTGATAATGACTGTGTAAGTTTCTCAAATAATTTGAAATTTGGTAGTTACATTTTTTTCTTCCAATTTAAGCCATTAGAAAAATCATGTTAATTAGATAACTGTTAAAATAACTTAAATTTAACCCAAATCTTTCTCAAGACTAAATCCTACGAACGTCCTGATGGTGCTTCATCAATTAATCCCATAGTCTCATATTAATAATCCTCTTTATGTTCCAGCTACTCGTTCACCTCCCACTGAAGGCCAAATGGAAGCCTGACTTGCATTTGCCACCCTTAGATATTAGGAAGGCTCTTTAAACCATACCTTGGATAGAGAGACAAAATGTGTATGTAGTATTGACAAAATTTCAAATGTATTAAGAATAATGTAAAATCATTCCTTAAACCACTTTGTCTTCTTACATTTAAAAGATAATTTTACATTTCAAGTTATTATGTATTTGAGATTTTTTAAAGTCCAAATAAAATAATACTAGATAGAAAGCCCTATAGTCTTTTAATGGAATAGAATTATGAGTATTTTTCTGGGTAGTGACCCACCTATTTCTCAAAACTCCACTTTTGTCCTCTCATAGATGGGTTCTAATGTACCCCTATAAATTCTGCAGAAAGACAAAATTGATCTCTTTTGATGATCAATGACCAATAATAATTCTTTTGTTTGCTTTTCAAAGAAGTTAGTAGTAAAGCTTATACTGTTTTTCAGATACTTGTAAAACTTGCTATTTCAGATTCTTTATGAAATTATTTCTAAGCTTGACCTTGAAACTACAGTATAGTTCCAGGACAGGATAATAGACACCTGGTAAACAGTATAACAAACATTTTAGTATTGGCTCTGAAACATGGACAGAAAGAGCTAGGAGTTTCAGAGAATCTAAAATAAATACAAAGACAGAAAGAAAAATGGCATGCTTTCTGGTAGAAACCTGTTTTCCTCGTTATTGTGTGTCCACACTCGCATCTCTGATTGTCTGGCTACGTGTGGAGATATGCAAAGGGCGCCGCTCCCTGTCTCACTCTCCGAGCACGCCATCCCTCTTCAGGTAACCATGGCAACAGGTCACAGGTACATACACAAAGTGCATGACTCCCTGCAGCGGCCACAAACAGCTGCTTTGTCATACACTGAATAGGATATTCGAGAGATGAGGTTCGGTAATTGGGACAGGCTCTCAGGGCCGGGGTGGGGGTGGACACTGGGGCGCTGTCCTGAATGGACCCACATATACACGATGTGCATGGGAGGTCAGTGACATTCATTTCCAAGCTGTTAGGTTACCAAGGAAGGGGCCTTACCCGGGCCTTCTGCTCCATTTCTAGCATTAATCTCTCATGCTGCTCAGCTATGGCCAGTGTCGCAGAATGGACCTTCTGATAGATCATTTCTCCTTCCCTTGTTTGAAAAGTGAACAGTCCTTCTCCTGTGTCACACATTCTGTGAGAACAGAGACAGGGAAAGAGATGGGTCTTCATGTGCTCAAGTGCGTAACAGTTCTCCTCGCCCTGTAATCCCCTCCGCCTTGACCCACACAGGCATGAGTGAAGCAGATTTCATTGTGGACCAAACCAACCAACCAACCATCCAGCCAGCCAGCTAACCAACCAATGCTCCTATAAATGGTGCATAAGAGTGAAACTCAGGATGAATATCCACACACATTTATAATTTTAAAGATGAAGTGTTCACAGCAGTGTAAAAGCAATTTCAGTTATGACAGTGCACGTCTTACCAATATTTAAAGAATAAAAACAAATTGTTGCTTTAAGAACCTTCGCATTGATATCATAGCACTATCTCCTATGACTTGATAGCTCTTGAAATGTTAAGAATGAAAATCAGCAATTTTGTACTCATTGCAGCAGAAACCAAGGAGCAGACTTTAAGGATCTGCATACATAGGTTGAAGCTTTTATTCAAACTGAAGAATCCTTACGTAAATCTCAGTATATACTAAGAGACAACATGGCAGAGAGGAGACTCAACATGGATATGAGAATATTTGTTTGAACCTTCGCTCAGCCACTTACCAGCAGTGTGACCTTGAGCAAGCCAACCCTCCTTTCAACATCTCCAGCAGGAAAAAATTATAATACACATGTCATAAGATCATTATGACAGTTAAGAGATGATACAATATTTTTAGTGTCATTTAGCATGTATTAAGTGCTCAAAAATGTTGGTTATTATTATTTTCATCATAGAGAAAATATGAAACTAATCTCAATGTCCACCACAGAGAATCTATTGGTTTAAATATAATATTTTTTATCTGATGGACTATTACAAAGCTATCATCATGTCATTTATGAAAGCATGTAATAACATTGAAACTCTATTTCTTCTTTCGGCCATGCCATGTGGCTTGTGAGATCTCAGTTCCCTAACCAGAGATTCAACCTGGACCACAGCAGTGAAAGCACAGAATCCCAACCACCTGGCCACCAGGGAACTCCCTAAAATTCTTACAGTGTAAATTCAAGAGGAAAAAAATCAGAATACAAATTCCTTTTCTATTATTTAACTATAATTACTTTTTAAAATGGGGTCTCCTAGGTGGTGCTAGTGGTAAAGAACCCACTTGCCAATGCAGGAGACTTCAGAGACACGAGTTTGATCCCTGGGTCAGGAAGATCCCCGGAGGAGGAAGTGGCAACCCACTCCAGTATTCTTGGCTGGGAAATCACATGGAGAGAGCAGCCTGCTGGGCTCTAGTCGCTTGTGTTGCATAGAGTAGGACATGACTGAAACGTCTTAGCACTCACGCACCTTTAAAACAATTTTTTCATGGAATAAAACCACTGACAGTTCCTCAGGCAGCAAGATTATGGATATATTTTATTAATAAAGACTAATTCTAAAGTAAAAAAATTAATTAATATTTTAAACCAGCTTTTAAAAATAGTTGGCGGCCTTCAGAAAGAGGCACTGAGGGTCAATCTGATGTTCCCATTCACAGACTGGATATTAACAGGATGGCCATGTTGTTGTTTTTGGGCTGTAACACCAAAAGATTTGCATGAAATACTCATGAGGCCAACCCCCATCTTCCAGCACCAAAAAGATTTTAGATTCTTCTCTGTGATTCTCCGAGGAGTTTCAGTAGAAAAGAAATGTCTCAAGAGGCTTTAGAAATTACAGAGGCTGCAACCGCCAGCCCTTAGGGCCCCGTAGAGCCAGCACTTAGCTTCTGTGAAAGAGATCTTAATAAAACGCACACAGCGTGAAATGGAAAGTCTGAGGGAAAAATGAAGAGTTTTCACAAAGTGAAACAAATGAGCTTTCTTTGTTGATTCTGAGGAGTAAGGAACTCCAACAGGAAGAGCAGGCAAACCATTGATGAGCGGTGAGCCCACCTCATCTGAGGTTGAGTTTTGTTCATTGTCGCTGGAAAAACACTGCTTATTAGCCTTTGGAAATCAGATAATGAAGATACAAATTATTATTTTAGACCCAGTCACTGAGATGCACAGGTCTAACCCTTCACCACTTCCTGAGACTTAACTATGCCTAGCAGGGGTGTCTGAAGGCATACAGAAGGGATTTTATTTTTTCCCCCCAACTTCTGAAATAAAAATTTCATCCATTGGTCAAGAAACCAGGAATTAGAACACACTGGCTTAAAAAAAAAACAGAGAACTTTTGGGTAGAAGATTCTGTTTTCTCAACATAGGTGCCCAAAGCCAAGCTGAAATTACACTTCTTTAGTACAATTGACTCAGATTTATGACTTCTGTCAGCAGTGTTGGAATAAACAGTTTAGGTTTTTCCTAGTTATTATTTAAAACATGTACTCTTGGGAGTGGTAAGCAACAGATATTTTTTTCTTATATGTCTAAAAAGTTTTGTGGTAGCAAGCCAGTGCCAGAGAGGACAAGATGAGAGATGAAATCACTGTGATGACCAATGCCTTGATCCTCAACGTGGTCCCCCGACCAGCAACACTGGGATCTGTCCAGAGTGCTGAAGTGGAACCTGCATTTTGACGTTTTTATTATTTTTTTTTTTTAAGTTGGAATATAATTGCCATGACAAAGGATGCAAGAAGATACAATGGAGAAAAGAGAGCCTCTTTAATAAGAGGTGCTGGGAAATCTGGACAGTTGTATGTAAAAGACTGAAATTAGAACAGTATCTAACATTATACACACAAATAAACTCAAAATGGTTTAAAGATGTAAATGTAAGACCGGACACTATAAACCTCTTAGAGGAAAACACAAGAAAAACACTCTTTGACATAAGCTACAGAAAGATCTCTTATGACCCAATTCCTAGAATAATGAAAACAAAAACAAAAATAAACATATAGGACCTAATTAAACTTAAAAGCTTTTTGCACAGCAAAGGAAATCATAAACAAGATGATAGCCTTCAGAATGGGAGAAAATATCTACAAATGAAGCAATGGACAAAAGATTAATCTCTAAAATATACAAGTAGCTCACGAAGCTTGATAAAAACAAGCCAATCAGAACCTGCATTGTGACAATATGCTTTGCACACACATTATAGTTTGAAAAATACTGGCCTATAGGACTCTTTCCATAGGTCAACATGTCATTCAAGGGAGTGGGGGATGATACTTGGAACCCATAAGAGGAAAAATTAGGAGTGATATTTGCGCAGTTTAAGACTGTGACATGTGGACTTGAAAGAAAGGAAGAAGTATGACAAAATGGACAAAGAGCATAAAAGAACACTTTCCATAATTTGGGAAGAACTAAGATAGAGGAGTAGCCCACATAGTCAACAAAAGAGTCCAAAATGCAGTACTTGGATGCAACCTCAAAAACGACAGAATGACCTCTGTTCATTTCCAAGGCAAACCATTCAATATCACGGTAATCCAAGCCTATGCCCCAACCAGCAATGCTGAAGAAGCTGAAGTTGAACGGTTCTATGAAGACCTTTAGGATCTTCTAGAACTAACACCCAAAAAAGATGTCTTTTTCATTATACGAGACTGAAATGCAAAAGCAGCAAGTCAAGAGATAACTGCAGTTAACAGGCAAATTCGACCTTGGGGTACAGAATGAAGCAGGGGGAAAGGCTAACAGAGTTTTGCCAAGAGAACACACTGGTCATAGCAAACACTCTCTTCCCGCAACAAAAGAGAAGACTGTACACATGGACATCACCAGATGGTCAATGCTGGAATCAGACTGATTATATTCTTTGCAGACAAAGATGGAGAAGCTCTATACGGTCAGCAAAAACAAGACTGGAAACTGACTGTGGCTCAGATCATGAATTCCCTATTGCAAAATTCAGACTTCAATTGAAGAAAGTAGAGAAAACCACTAGACCATTCAGGTAAGACCTAAATCAAATTACTTACGATTATACAGTGGAAGTGACAGATAGATTCAAGGGACTAGATCTGATAGACAGAGTGCCTGAAGAACTATGGACAGAGGTCCATGACACTGTACAGGAGACAGTGATCAAGACCATCCCTAAGAAAAAGAAATGCAAACAGGCAAAATGGTTGTCTGAGGAGGCCTTACAAATAGCTGAGAAAAAAAGAGAAGTGAAAGGCAAAGGAGAAAAGGAAAGATATACCCATTTGAATGCAGAGTTCCAAAGAATTAGCAGGACAGATAAGAAAGCCTTCCTCAGCGATCAACGCAAAGAAAGAGGAAAACAATAGAATGGGAAATACTAGAGAA